TCGGGAGATGTTCGTGCGTTTGGATATAGCTGCCACTTGTTCTTGGTAGTTTAGGTTTTTGCTAATCTGTTATGTAACCTTCAAACAGAACGTGTATTTATTTGTATCGGTTTTGAAAATTCCAATCTTAGAAGCTCGTGATTCGTACTACCTGGTCTTGGTAGATTTGTAAATGTTCAGTTATTTATTTTCTATTCTCTTATAATCTCAGTTGAGTTGTATTTTCAGTTAGTTGGCTTACCTAGCGGGTTGAGTTAGGTGCCATCACGAGTTGTGGTTTTTGGGTCGTGACACACATAGTCCTAAACTTAGAGTTACAAGCTCAGAAATTAAGTACATGTAGTCCTGAATTTAAATTTAGAAGCTCAAAAACACATGTTACCTTGATGTCCTCTTGAATCTTTTTTTCTAATAAAGTTATTTTTTGATGAATCCTAATACTTTCTGCCTACAAATCCTTTTTCAACTTCTCTGATAACCTCTTAATCAAAAATCATAAAAACAGAAAAGTCTCTTAATAAAAAATAAGCAAATAAAAAACTAATGGTCTTCAAAGACAGAAAACTTATATCAACAATTTCTTTAAGCAAGCCTTCAAATTGTGTTGAAGGCATTGAACTTTGATCTTGAGATAATTGCACATGCACACTAGCGGGCTCCACAACTTCTTCAGAAGAAACAAATGGTACCATCTCGAGCAACTCAAACACAACGAATACAGTCGCGTAACAACTAAAATAGTAGCTATAGGAAGTAATTATGTATATGGTAGCTATAGAAATTTAATAGCCACTAAATAATAGTGGCTTATGAAAATTGAAAAAATGGCATGGTGTAACAACCTATAAAGAGAATTGGTATTAAAAAGCCCTAGTTTTAGATATTGGTATCCTATAGCCCAACATTAAATTTTTCTTATATTTAATCTGTATTTTATAGCCAAAATTATTTTTATGCAAAATCAAAAGAAACATACAACACTCTCCTCTCTCTCTCTCTCTCTCTCTCTCTCCCTCTTTAATAATCTTGTTCTCTTTCTTCCCCAAATTTTATTCCACATTTTCAATCCCCCAAATCTCTCTCTTCTTCTCCGATTATTACTTTGTTAGGTTTTCTCTTAATCTTTTTTTGTGTATATCAAAATTTTATATTCCTTCTTTTTATAATATACTTGTTCGATAGATTGGGGAAGGCCAAGTTCTTCACGAAGGTAGATTTTAGATTGAAACTCAAGTTGTAAGATGACTCCACACGTGTATCCCTCATTGTACCTTGTGTATATCTCAATGTACATCAGTGATACCTCATGTATATCATGTGTATCTGTGTATATCCACGAAAATATGTGTTATATACACGATATATAATGATATACACAGACGTCCAAAAATTATGTTATATACACGATATACGAAGTAATATACACATACATTCATAAAAATATGTGTGTGATATACACTGATGTACACGATATACAACGTGATATACACATGTCGCAGTTGGATTATTAGGTATGATTTTATTACTTGAAACCAGTCTAAATCACTTTTAATCTTGCTCAAATTTTGTATATAGCCTCGTCTGGGTGTTTTCAACCAATTTCAATCACACCCACTCTTTCAATCCAATAACAAAAATGAAGAGAGAAGAAAAACAAAGTTAAGCTCTATTTTTTCCTATTTTTCTCTTAGTTTTTGCTTCTGATTTCTTCTTATGTGAGATCAACCTTACCTTTTCATCCCACTAATTTTTTTGAGCATACTTTGCAATAATTTTCGTTAAACCATGAGAGAGAAAGAGGAGAGATAGAAGAAGAAATATAAGGACAGAAAGAGAGAGGGAAAAGAAAAAGATACGTAGGTTATAGAGACGGGGGGGGGGGGTTATAAATAGAAAATAAATAGGAAGTAGGTTTTTTTAAATTTGGCTATACAATGCCAAAGTCTTTGGGCCTCTACTGTCAAACAAAATTTAAGGCCAAAAAATGCCAATAATATTAATACATTGTTATACGGTGTCAATCTCCTCAAGATTGTTCCCTTAATGGGCTCGTTCATTTTTACTTTTCAAGTGTGGTATTATGAGTCCAAAACTATTAAGTTTAAAGCCCATTAAAGTGGCTATCATGCACATGCTATAAGTGTTATCTTCATTGGTCTCCTTTTTTATTAATGCCCACAGAGGGTTGGCTATTATAATTGTTTCCTTTGAATTTGCCAATGTTTGGAAACTAAATAAGGAAATTAAGAGAAAGAAATAGTTGAAAGTTTATAACATTTCTCTTTGAAAGAAAACTTTGGGAAGCAATTTTATTTTTTTTTTGGTTGTCATGTCTATGAAGAGTTTATCTATACTATATTAAAAGCATGAAGGCCCTTAGCAAAATGTCGTTCGCCTTTTTTACCCTTTAAAAATAGAGTTCATAATGAATAAAATAGTCATTTTATTAATTTCTTAATATTTATAATTTTAAAATCAACTAAAACTTTAACTATTATAGTAGGAAAATTCCAATATTTAAGACATTAAAACCAACTAAAATTTTCCTTTTATAATTCAAGGTCCTAATATTTAAGACCAAATATAAGAACTAATTCGTTGAAATACGTTTTAGAAATTCAAAATTCAAAGTTTCAAAACCTCACCGCTAAGCATTATATTTGGATTCAAGAGATTAAAGGCAAAAATTGAAGAACTACTACTACTTTTTTTTGAAGAAAAGAACAACTATTATTGATTCTTCTTTTTATTTTCTAAGTACAATTTGTTGATTATTCCAAACATAAATTGCTAGACGAGGAATTGGAGTGAAAATAAGCAAATATACAACTAACATAAGCATTTAATTTGTACTGCCTCCATTTTAAGTTATTTATCGTAATTTTAAATATAGATGTTTCATATTATTTGTCATTTTAGAAGTTTAAAACAAAATTAATTATTTTTTTTATTTTATCCTTAGAAGTGATTGTTCTTGACGATGAAGATGTCACATAACTAAATAAAGTAAATGTTCAATAAAGAGATATTATACTTAAGTCATAAATAAGGGTTAAATAGTCAAAAGAAATTCTAATTAATGTTTTCTTTATGTGTGTGTAGAAGAGAAATGCGATAAAAAATTTAAGACAGAGAAAATACTTATTAGTAATTAAGAACCTTTAAATAGGTAGAAAAATGTTGAACTTATTAGTTATATGAAATATTTATTTTAACAATAAGAACACAACTCCATCCAAACAAATCATTGATCCATGTCAGAAATCACATCAATTGGTAAATGACGATGAACGATTACCATTAAGATATTAGTATTGAAGTTGCACTAATCAATAAACTCATGAAATTTACTAGCAAAATTAACTAAATTCTGGTTGGTGGAATTGTATTTTCTAAAAATTGAAGGCAATAAATTTTATTGATATTTGACATAAAAGAAAAAATAGAAAAGAAAAATTATAACTCATAAAGTTAAAATCATGTATCAAAATTATTCAAAGTCGCAAGTTATATTTTTTTTCAAATAGAAAAGGAACAAAAACAAATAACATTAGATCTTTAATTTGTTTAATATTAATTAGTACGTATATATTATTTTTGTCCACAACTAAAAATGTACATGAATATATCTATCTGTCTATCCTATTTTAATAAGAAAAATGTGTTATATAAATTAAAACAGAGGAACTAATATCTATATATATTTTTAAAATTTAGCATTCATTAATATAGGTACACGCACAAAGCGCGTACCCTAAACCTAGTAAGATATAAAGTAACGGAGTATCATTTTTCTTAGTGACATTCAATTTTATGAAAAGAACTTGAATAGGAAAACTTTGAGTCTAACCTAACCTAAAAGCTTGCATAAGTTTAGGATTGTCTAACACTATATAATTAGACCCATTTTTTAATCTCCAACCCGGGTGGGATCTAACATCTTCTTTTGCCTTTTCAACTCAAATCAGAGAAAGGCATATATATATATATATATATATGAAAATTTGAAGTTGGGATTAATTATATTGGAGATGCACTTGTACATTTGGATTATTCTGTCTAAAATTAATCTTCATTTATAGAATGGATATTCCAAATGTGATCGTCATATAAAAACTTAACAAAATACATCCAACAACCAAATGGAAGAGATTGTTGTTCCACATTTACGAATATTCTCGAGTTAACGTTGACAAAGTTGACGTGTTGATTGTATAGTAATAAACATGCATACTTCACAGACCTTTTAAGAAAGAAGAAAAGGAGTAAAAAGTCTATCAAGAGGACAATGAGGATTTAATAAAAAAATGTAAAGAAAAAGTTTTAAAAAGAAAACAGAAGAATTAAAATCAAAGCAAAACGACAATGGGAATTAGAAAAGTAAATTTGCAAATCAGAAGAATCTCTTATATAGTGGAACAGAAAAATATATGTCATATATTTATTGATTTAGTGGACGGTTTACTGGGTGCCAAAGGCGTCTCAATAAAACTCGTGACCTAAAGCCAAATTTTAATAAGGGGCCGTAATTTTTATTTTATTTTTTGGTCTATAGTATAGTTATCTTGTAAAATATAGTATTAATATTATATTGGTTTCTTTCTTTTTTCTTTTCTTTTTTTGTCTATAGTGTAGTTATCTTATAAAATATAATATTAATATTCACATTGGTAAGAAAATTCAAGTTAATAAGATAGTAAATCCATAATTAAATATGTTTTTGGGGCCCCAAAATTTAAGGGGCCTAAAGCAAAATGTTTTACTAGCCTCCCTTGAGCCACCCCTGCAGGGTGCATTTACATGTATTTTAATGTAATTTTTTCATATTGATCATGCAATATATGATACAGTTTGACGTATGCGTCGGGTTCGGGTAATTTTTTACTCCACTAAACAAGGTGTGTCCGCTTTTGGTGTGAGATCTTTGCCAGATATTTCATAAAAAGATTGGCCAATTTAGGAAATGTGGTTCTAAAGTGTCCACATTCATATTGATCGGCAACTATTGCTGCGTTTGCCTGAAAGAGAAAGAAAAGGAGAGCGACTCAGTCACTCCCACCATTTCTTTTATTTCTTCTGTTCGTTTTATAATGTTACATACTACGTACTAATATATTCTGTGCCTTTTAATGTCCCTTACTCATGCAATTTCCAGTAATTCTATCCACTTTTTTTGGCCCCACGTTACCCACTTTTTATTCTCCTTCTCATGTATTTGTTGATCTGATCTTCTTCTAAGATTCCCATATGTTGCTCTTCTCTTCCCTTTTATCTTGATTTTCCACTCCCATTTTCCATAGAGATCATATCTTTTTATTTTCTAAGCATTTCAAATGGAAAATTTGTTCATTGTATCACAGCCTGTTTTCTTCTCTCTTTCTTGAATCAAGATTGAATTTGGCATTTAAAACTGTTCTTGAATTGTAATTTCATGTTGTCTTGCTTATTGCTACTGATTTCCAGTCAAAAGAACCAATCTTTTGAGGTGGGCTGATTGTTTGTGGAATTCTTTTGCAAGAGAATTTGGGTTTGTAGTAGTGAGCATTCTTGGATATGTAAGAAGGGTCTCATGAATTATGAAATCGTACGACTCAGAGAATATAAATACTGAAATTTTGTGTAAGTGTGGTATTTCAGCAGTATCTAATTCAAGTATACATACTCCTTCGCCACGACGTTTGTGTCTTAGGCCTTAAGGATGAAGTTAGGAAAAGAAGAAGAGAAGCGTATGGATCCTTTGTTTCCTAGATTACATATAAATGATGCAGATAAAGGAGGTCCAAGAGCACCTCCTAGGAACAAAATGGCTCTTTGTGAACAGTCGTCTAGTACCTTATCGCCACAAAGATTCACCTCTACTTCTGCTCCTGCTCCTGGATCAATGTCAATGCTGCCTCTCGCGCCTAATGGCAGCAACTCCATTCCTGCTGCATCTTCTAGTCTTGTAAGTATAAATTTAGTGTACTCTTATTTTACTTGGGGAATAGAGGGATTTCCAAGTGTTTCTGTTTGAAATTTCAATCAGGCAGAATGGTTTGTTATTTGGTAAACTTTGCATCCCTATTAGGAAGTCAAAGATCAGATTTTTAATACTGTGATATATCATTTTAATAGTAGAAGTCCAGTCAATGGCATTCTATTTAAATGTGTCAAACAACAACGACAACAGCAACAATCCAGTGTAATCCCACTTGTGGGGTCTAGCGAGGGTAGTGTGTATGGAGAGCTTAACCCTACCTTGTGAAGGTAGAGAGATTGTTTCTGATAGACCCTCGGCTTAAGAAACTATTTTGGAAGCAACCAACTATTTAAATGTGTCAAACAAAGTAGAAAATTGATGAGTTGAAAACAATCTATGCAGTCATATGGTCTTAGAAAAGGAGGTAAACTAGGTATAGATATAAGTGTAGTATAATCATTTACTGAAATCTTTTATGCGATTCAGTCACGAGTTTCTTCATCATCCAAAACTTTTGGATGTTGGATCTACTTAAATTCCTTTGTTTAGTTATTGCTTGTCCTGTTTCAGATTGAGTTAGTTTGTTTATCCCCTTTATTACCAACTCATGGTAATCAGGAAATATTGGGATGTGCGGGCACACTAGGCTGGATAAAATTAGGAATTAAGATATCCGGGCGAAGGTAGGCGTGGCTCCCATGGAAGACAAGATGCGGGAAGCTAGGGCTTAGATGGTTCGGGCACGTGCGTAGGAGAAGCATGGATGCCCCGGTAAGGAGGTGTGAACGGCTGGCCTTGATGGATATGAGAAAAGGTAGAGGGTGGCCAAAGAAATATTGGGGAGAGGTGATTAGGGTTGGACCTGGTGCGGCTTCAAATTTTCTAGGACATGGCCCTTGATAGGAAGTTGTAGAGGTCGAGCATTAAGGTTGTAGGTTAGGAGGTAGGAGGCTAACCTGATAGTGTTTTATTACTTCTTTAAGGTTGCAAGTTAGGTCGTAGGAGGTTAGTCTGTTAGTGTATTGTCTTAGGATGCTAGTGGCTCTTGTTGTATCCATGTTACTCCATTGTGTCTGTAGTACTGTGTCATTGTTACTGCTTATAGTTATTGCTTTTCTCTATTTTTTGGTTATTACGTTGCTGGTGTTATCTTTCTTGCTCCCTTTGCTATTACTGCCCCACTGTCTCTTTTCATCTTCTTGAGCCGGAGTAGGGGTAAGGTCTGCGTACACACTATACTCCTCATACCCCACTTGTGGGATTCCACTGGGTTGTTGTTGCTGTTGCTGTTTTGGTAATCAGGAAATAGTACTTTTGCTTCATAGATTATGCCTTGTCTTTCCTTAAATAGGAAATGCTTGGATGCTTTTGACCATTATGACCGAATCACACAAGCTCTTGAACACCTGTAGGTTGGTTGCAACAAAAAGAGTTTATTTGCTAGATCTCACAATTCAACCGAGTCTCCTCATTTTATTGATATACTTCATCCGTATTCTTCTGGAGGAGCAAAATTTACAATGGGACGTCCTGATGTACGACAACTGAAGCCGCTAAATCCTCAAGTTTTAAGTCTTAAAGGGAATTTGCCTAGTACATCTCAGTGTAATCCTCTTCATCCACACAGTTTATCATACTCTAATAGTAACCCTTCCGCCAAAAAGTTTGGAAGGGAAAATGATTGTTGTGGTTCAAAGTTGGTTGCATCAGGGAAATCTCTAGATCATGGAAATATACATAAAAGTGCAGAGAAAGAAAAACTGGTTATATCAAGCTACAAACCTTCTTTGACAGGCGGTATGCAATTAAAGTTCCGGGAGCATAGTATAAATCAAGCTGGAGATCTAGCTCAGTGTCAAAAAAGAGAGCTTTGTGCTAAACTACCAGCTCCTCATCTGTCATCTAGGGATAAGTCAGTGGTGCATAGAACTTCAAGTCCAGTACATACTGAGCTAAATATCAAATCATTTGTATCAAGTGGTACGGAAAATAGATGTGGTTTTGGAGTTGATTTGAATAGGTGTAGTGATTCTACCTCCGAATCTGATGAGGACTGTTGGGATCTGCACAAAAGGAAGGCCACAGCAGATGTTACTTATGCGAAAAATGAAGATGACACAACGAAGAGATGTGCTACCATAATGGAAGGTGCATCGTGTTCCTTTATACCTCGTGAAGAGAACCATCGAAGTCCAAAGCGAGTTAAATCCTCTTCTGACTGTCCTGAAGGCCAGATTAGTGGTACTCAAGAAGTAGGAGATACAGACAGAAGTGAAGAGATCTCAGAAGCTTCTTCATTGAACTCTAGATTAGTAGAAAAAGTATGTCCAGATAATGTCATAGCATTGATAGGTCAAGAACTATTCTGGAAAGCAAGAAGAACCATTGTACAGTAAGTCTCTTTAACTAGTCATTTTTTATGTCTAACCAACTCATTGTGACAGTAAAATTGAAAATTATTGGCTTGATTCAGGGGTTAGTCAAAGATATGTGCTGATTCTAATTTGTCTACTTTCAGCCTGTGTCATGCACATATAATATCATATTTTTTTCTGTGATGTACCATTTAACTTGCATTTTCACTATTTTTCAGCCAGCAGCGAATCTTTGCAATACAACTATTTGAGCTGCACAGGCTAACAAAGGTACGTTCGACTTCTATCAGTTAGATTGCCCTTTCTTTTGTTTTTCTTGAAGAGACAAAGTGCTCAATGGTCATATGAAGGGTGGTTAATTTAGTCTTTCATTTTCGATGCCAGACCTGTATGCTTTAATCGAAGGGCAGAAAAATCTTCTAAAGTCTACTGGAAGTTTTTTAATAGAAGGACCAATTGCAACAAAATCAATAATTAGAAGGGGGTTGAGGAGGTTTTTGATGTTCTGTTTAAATTTTGTAAGAATACTACTTATTCTACAATCTTTACAGGTTCAGAAATTGATAGCCAGATCACCAGATATACTGTTCAAAGGCAACTTCTATCTCCACCAACCTTCCATCAAATTTTCTTCCTTGAAGAAGTTACCATGTGATAATGTTCTTGAACCTCCTGCATTGGCTGTTGAACAAAAGGTTTCTACAAAACCAAACAATTTTGTGCATCCAACAGATAATAATACTTATGAAAAGCTGCTTCCCCTCCGCAAAGATGATGATAAAAAACTCATACCACAGCACTCAGCTCAAAAACCAAATGCAGGGACACCAACATCTACCTCTTTTGTATCTGATCCAAAATTAGCACCTCGGTGCTTCCAACCGCCTCCTGGATATCAGTGGTTAGTTCCAATAAGATCACCTTCTGAAGGACTTGTTTATAAACCTTATTCAGGACCTTCTCCACCACCCCCCGGGTTCATGGCGCCAGTTTATGGTAGTTCCAGGCCTGTGAACCTATCTCCTATAGTTGGAGACTTTTCGAATGTGCCTTATAGTGTTCCGACTTCTCATAAGCAAGGTGTTGGGATTTTTCCTGGTCATGCAATCCCTGATCAGTCCTGCATTCAACCTTATCCCATGCCTGTGATAAAACCATCTAGTTCAAGTTCAGCTGTTGAGAAAATGAATCCATTTCCCGGAATCAGGTCAAGTGAGAGGGAAAATAGCCCATCTATGCATGATGTTAACTTGGTCAGGCCTCATAAAAAATCATGCAATATATCATGCCAGAAGAGCGCGGCCATTTCAGAATATGATCGGACTTTTCAGGCGGATAGAGGGAGTGACATGCAAGGAAGTAGTGCAAGTAGTCCTTCTGAGAAGGTGCAAAGGGATGCACTCTCTCTTTTTCCCATCACACCAACAGCAAAATGTTCAGATCAACCAGTTAAAGATAACAATACGGAGCAGCGAATTCAAGTGATCAAGGTTGTGCCTCATAACCCAAAATCAGCATCTGAATCTGCAGCTCGAATTTTTAGGTCTATACAAGAAGAAAGGAAATTGAATTTTTAGTATCCAAAACCTTATAGCTTGATCTTGTAAGAAAACCCTTTCTTGTTGTACTTTTTCCATTTTTCTAAATTTCCTTCATTTTTTATTTCCCTCTTTGATAAAAGGTTCTTTACTGTAAATATATTCAATACAAAGTAAAAAAGCAACACAGGTTCGTTCTTTTTCTACAATTTCTTCCTTCTCTTAATTTTCTGTGGTTGTTCTTGTGTCAACAGTAATTAAGTAGAGCTTTGTTTTCACGTTGGTGTTTTGGATCGTAATAGCATCAGTGTATCATACCACAATTAGAGCCCGTGACAGATGACAAAATGTTTAAACTTATGCTAGTATGGTAAGATAAGTACAGCCTAGAACCAATAGGATGAGTAAGAACTGAAGATATCCAAATCAGATTATTTTCTTGATAACATCCAAGTCAAATAATAAATACTAGGAATTCATGTAATGTGATTACAACATCATCATATTCAAGAATATCGTATATCTTAGTATATCAGGGGCAATGTCAATCCTGTGTTGTCAGGCCTTTGGTGTTCTGAAGCCGCGAATAACTGCAATCATGTGGCAGAAAGTTTGTTTCATCACAGATTCATATCAGAAGCCCAGATACTTGGACGAGCGTTCTAATAAAGGTTCCAATGTACTAGGAGAAAATTTTCTGGCGAAAAGGGAACAAAGTGAAGTTGTCTGGTTATTGTAGACACACGTCCCGCCTTCCACAATTTTCTTGAGAAACTGATCTGTAATATCAGCCTTTCCAAATGTAGCAGGATGAGCACCACCTCTAGACCAGTCTACTAAAGTGAGACTCCTATTTGCCAGGAGATGAGGAGATTGGATGTGTAACATTGTTGGGAAATAATGCTCATCAACATAACATGATGGTTTGCAAAACTGTTCAAATTTTGGGTAGTATACTTGATCTTTAACAATGTCAATAGCCAGTTTCCTGTTTACTTCAAACCACTGGGATCCTTTACGCCATTCAGTGATGTTAACCTCAGGCGACATGTTCTTATTATAACGCCCTCTTCCAACAGGTCCAGGATCATCAAATACACTTATAAAGCTGTGCCTGGATTCTGATATGTAGCGATAGACAACACTGAAGTTATGGAGAGGAATGCAAGACTCGGATAGGAGGACAAACCATTCATTGGAAATATCAAGCAATGCATTAGCAAGAAGCCGTCTTTCAGCATCACACACGCTCATTTTTCCCCACTCCGCCACCTATGTGAAATTGAAAGCCACACAATTATGACCAGAAATACATATTAGTACTACAATACACTAGCCTCATCAGTTCTACTTCTCATATATCAACTTTTTAAAAGAAAATTAAAGCTACTCACACTACTAAATCCTACAAAGCACAGAACCAGGATCAACAATTGTGCACAATTTTGAACAATATTTGTACAATTAGAACTTAAAGGATGGTGCTGACATTACCTGACTAGGAATTTGCCTGCGATGAAACACTGAGGAAGGCGCGAAATCAGATTTATATGATGGCAAGGTATGAATGTAGATTGAATAAAGTTCTTCATTCCCTTTAAAGAATCTCTCCCACAATGGCGCCAAAGGCAGAGGTCCTCGAGTCAAGAACATGAACGCGATCTTAGGCGTTCTTTTAAAAGGACAATTTTTAATTTGAGGAACAAATGAAGCTCTCCAGAAAAGCTGTCTATCATTCATGTTATGCTGCAAATTTAATGGAGGTCTAATCCAACTCTCTAAACTATTTGGTTTTTGAAAACATGACTGTATTCTTGTTTGTATCACAGGAAGTAATACATTCTGCACTTCTACAAATCTAAGCATACACATACTTAAAATTGAAAAAGCAATTCCTAGACCAAAAAATAGCAGCAGAAACTGAAGTATTTTTAATGGTAAAGGCTTGTTCTGATTTATTACTAAAGTATTAGAGTCTTTGCCCTCCTCTAAACTCCCCATATTCTCAACTCAACTTTCAAACAATACCAACTTACACAAAACAAAGTGGCAATATTTTTACCAAGATTTGGAAGAAAAATCCAATACTATTAAAGAGAATGGTAGGGTGAATTTTCATTAAGAAATTTACTTAAAAACCAAAGCTTTTCATATTTAATTTCTTCAACTTATGGAATGAACGTAAATAGTGATCAACCAACCAATTCAGGCAAAATATTTCAACAAAGATCATGAAAATCCATGTAGGCGGATGTAGAGCTGTCCCTTACCATAAAAAGACTCTAGAAACATGAAGTTGCTATTATAAAAACGAAAAACTAAAATACTAAGATTTGGCTGTTGTTTTTGGGCTTAATAAATGAGAATATGAGAGTGGTTGAAGGAAACAATTACATAGAAAAGACGTTTAGGTTTGAAGAACAAAACTGATTCTTGTTTTCAAACCTTCGCTATATAGAAATTTGTTTAAGTTTTTCCCACTTCCCAATGTTGATGTTGTGTTCTAATAGGTATTTACAATGTGGTTTGGTTTTCTGTACGTAAAAAAAACGGAATGGAGTAGTCTATGTAAGAGAAAGACACGTCCAATAGTTTGGAATAGAGAAGGGAAAGAAAAGTAATCATTGTCTGTGAAAAAAACTAGGAGATGTTAGCATAGTTGTCTTCTACTATATTTTTGCCTTGAAATTTCCAATTTGGTGGCTTTTGTTTTTAAAAAAAATTAACAAAATCGCAAAAACGTTTTTATATTTTTTCAAGTAATTTTTTAAAATTTCTTTTGCATAAATGTTCCAACCAAACAGAAAAAAAAAACTAGAAATTGTGAAAGAGAATTTCAGAAGCAAAAAGCCACCTTAATATCAAATGAATGACATTATTTATATAAGGAAATCTTAGCTATAATTTTCAAATATTACTAATTGTTGTGAATCATAAAATTGTGATTGGTACTATTTAATCTATATCTATCCATACTGTATTAAAAGCACGAATATCCTTAGCGAAATGTCGTTCGTCTTTTTTGTCCTTTAAAAATAAATTTCATAATAGCTAAAATAGTAATTTAAGTTATTTTCCTATTATTTAGGACTTAAAAATCAACTAAATTTTGGTTATTAATTCTTTCCTTATTGAATTAGGTCATAATTGTTAGGAGTTTAAATTCAATTGAGATTTTACCTCAAATAAGGAAAGGATCCCCTTTATTTTAAAATAGTAATATTTCATATTATTCTATGAACTCTAAAAGATCTATACCCAAGGTTCCTTTACAATAAAATAACTTTTTTTCTTTCTTTTAGGCAATAGTATAGTCGTAATCATGGTTTTATTATTAATGTAATATAACTAAATAATCCTCGGCACAAGACAAATAACTCTATGTAATACAAATAAAATATATAACATAAATATAATAGGCAACTAGTTTTAAAGTAAAAAAGGGTAGCCCGGTACACTAAGCTTCCGTTATGCGTAGAATCCGGGAAAAAACCGGACCATAAGGGTCTATTGTACGCAGCCTTATCCTGCATTTGTGCGAGAATTAATACTTCTCATACTTGTCATACAGAATTAATATGTGAATTCACATAAAAATTTAGATGTGTTGACTGACTCTTATAGTCCGGTCTTGTCATACTTGTCAAACAGGAGGTATACTAGCAATTATATTTTAGTTACTCTCATTCCTTCACAATTCTATGTAAAGAAAAGCTTAACAGTAGGGGTGGGCGTGGGTCGGTTAGTATGAAGGTACGGTTCGGTTTATCAGTTTTCGTTTTGTAATATTAATAACCAAATCAAACCAAAGTATTTACGGTTCGGTGCGGTTTTTTCAAGGTTCGGTTCGGTTATTTTTGATTTGGTTTTTCGGTTATTAACGGTGTAAGATTTTTATGTATTGACTCATAGAGACCTCCGAGCTGAATAAAGACCAACAGCAGGAGCATAACCATTAAACTTAGCAGATCGAACAGCACTAAAAAGAGCGTCTTTTGCTACTGGAGAAGTTCGAAAGCATGGTATTGCAGAAGAGTCACCACGGCCCAAATGAATGATTGGCTTCCTCTCATTCTCTTCTTTAAGAGCCCGTTTGCACATACAAAATTTTTCCTTTTTTTCAAAATTTTTTTTGAAAATAATGTTTGGTTATCCCATTCTTACCAAATTTTCCAATTTCACTTGAAAATGGGAATTTTGCTAGTTTTTAGTTTTACAAATTTACCTACAACTACCCACAGAAACACAAATCGCGCAGTGTAACGACCCGCCTGGTCGTTTTGCCTTTTTGAATCCCATTCCCTTAAATAAAACTCCCCGTGCTTGCTTTAGCTAATTTACAACTTGCTGGGACGGGTGGTTCGAAATTTGGAAGAGTTTCGGGTGAAATATGCCCATTTGATTCCTTAGGATTTTCTTAAAAGACTAAGTTTGACTTTGGTCAACAATTTGAGCAAACGGACCCGGATTCGTGATTTGACGGTCCCGGAGGGTCCGTAGGAAAATATGGGACCTGGGTGTATGCCCGGAATCGAATTTCGAGGTCCCTAGCCCGAGTAATGAATTTTTATTAGAAATTGTTAATTTGAAGTTTTAAGGATTTAAAGAAACTAAGTAATCATTGATTTCCTAGGTATCGGGCTCGTATTTTGGTTCCGAAGCCTAGTACATGTCCGAAATATCATTTAAGACTTGCCCATAAAATTTGGTGTCAATCCGAGTAGATTTAGGGCGTTTTGGCCCGTTGAAGGAAAATTAAGAACTTGAAGTTCATAAATTTGATTCATTTGGTTTAGGGGGTGAATTCTAGATTTAGCATTGTTTTGGGTGTTCCGAAGGTTCGAGTAGGTCCGTCTCATGATTTCAGACTTGTCGGTATGTTCGGGCGGGGCCCGGGAGCCCCGAGCGTCAATCGGACGAGGCTCGAGTAAAGTGGAAATTTTGAAAGAGGGATGAAGAACTGCTGCCGCAGATGCGGGATCGCAGAAGCGGCCCAGGGGAGCAAAGCCAGGAACCGCAGATGCGGCTCCCAGGCCGCAGATGCGGCTCCCAGACCGCAGATGTGGTCCCAGCCTTCCATCCCCTTTTTCGCAGATGCGGTTGAAATCTCGCAGATGCAGGACCGCAGATGTGGTCCCTTTACCGCAGAAGCGGAAATCACTGAACCATTGAGGTTCATTAAAGACGGGTTCTAAGTCATTTTTTTTACATTTTCACTCCTCCTTTGGGCGATTTGGGAGCTTTAGAGAGAAGGTCTTCACTTAGCATCAAGAGGTAAGTTTGTTCCACCCATCCTTAGTTTAATACTCGTATTTTAGGTAGATTAAACACTAGAACTTAGGCAAAATCAAAGGGGTTAGAGCTAAACCTAGGGTTTTGCTAAAACTTGAATTTAACCACGAAATTTGTTATGGAATTAATTAGAAATCATATATTATTGATCCTTATGTTGTAAAGAACTAATTCCTTCAAAAAAATTCGGAATCCGGGCACGTGGGCCCGGGGTCGGATTTTTAGAAAACTTGTGTTAATGGTTGGAAGATTTCTTAAATAGCTAGAATTCGATCCTATGAGCCTATATTAACTAGTTCCTACTTCGTTCAACTAGTTTGGGATCGTTCGGCTCCGAATTGAGGGCTTGGACTTGTTCTTGGCATTTGGAGTGCACTTTGGAGCGAGGTGAGTCTCCTTTCTAACCTTGTAAGAGGGAATTGTCCCCATAGGTATAATAATTGAATTAATTGCCATTATATTCGGGGGCTATGTACGCACTAGGTGACGAGAGTCCGTACGTAGCGACTATTATGTTAAGTCCGGGTAGTCTAGGACCCATAAGCATGCTTTACGTGATATTCTAGTACGTGTTGATTAATTTGGATTTATATGAACTATTTTGAGTAAGAAGAATGAGACTAGAGAATGACCCTTATCCTGTTTGGTCTTTTAAAGGAGAACACTTGGTATTTCTGTGTATGGCTACTCCTCATATATATGTTAATTGTTAATGTTGCTTGTTAATGAGCTTATTTTCTATTCGACCGCGTCGCACGGGTGATTCGCGAGCGGGGTAATAGATGCATCTATGGTTCGAGCCGTTCGACCCTCGGCAGTGCACAGTTTATTTTGTGTTGGATCGGGTCGTACGTCCCACGGTGATTATCTGCGTATGTTTTGCTTAGAAATCCTTCAAGGGCTGAGTTACATATCTGCTTAGACTATAGACAAGCATCCTTGTTAGTGTTTGGGAAAGAACTGTTACTCCATGATTACTAAATGTAAATAACTTGAGATATCCATGCTTATTATAAACTCTTCTCATATTAATTGACCCTAGTAAGTATCGAGTCGACCTCTCGTCTCTACTTCTTCGAGATTAGGCGGGATACTTACTGGGTACATATTGTTATGTACTCATACTACGCTTTTGTACTTAATTGTACAGGGTCTGAGGCAGGTACATCTGACTACCAGTTGGGCGCGCACCACTGAGCAGATTTGATACTCCTACGGTGAGCTGCTTTCCTTTTCGTGCCGTGTAGCAGCTTGAAGGAGTTTTCTTATGTATTTATGCTGTCTATTCTGTTCAGACAGTAGGGTAGTGTATCTTGTTGTACATTCTATTAGTCGCCCACTACTTATGACACCAGGTCTTGGCACACACATTAGTAGACGTTATTATTTTGGGTTTGTATGATTATCATGATTTTTATCATCATTTCTAATCTATTTCCAACTTGAAGAATTATTTCAACTATTCTGGGGTTAAAGTGATCGAAAGTTTAATTTGTATTTTTCCGCGTTGGCTTTCCCAGCGATGGCGTTGGGCGCCATCATGACCTATTACGAAAATGGGTCGTGACAATATGGTATCGGAGAACTAGGTTCACGTAGGTCTCACAAGTTATGGGCAAACCTGATAGAGTCTTGTAGATCGGTACGGAGACGTCTGTATTTATCTTTGAGAGGCTATAAGGTATTAGGAAAGACTACTCTTTATTCATCTCCTATCGTGCAGTGATTTAGTATACTAAATTTCCCCCTCATATTCTCTCACAGATGGTGAGGACACACACGACTAACGTTCCAAACCCGGGCGGGGCCGCTCCCCCCGTTGCTAGAGGCCGAGGCAGAGGCCGGGGGAGGGCACCGGCCTGTGGTAGGGGACGAGGGCGTCCAAGAGCTATTCCAGTACCACCACCAGCAGATCCCGCGGGAGATCCTATCATGGAGGAGCAGGGCGAGGTGCCTGCAGCTAAGCCGACCCCGGTGGACTTTGTGACAGCACCGGGATTTCAGGAGGTCATGGGCCGTATGTTGCGGTTCATGGATACCATGACTCAGGCTGGTTTATTTCCACCAGATCCAGCTACCTCACAGGCGGGAGAGGGAGCACAGACCCTACTGCCCAGGCTCCTGGTCATGCGGCTGTAGTGTATCAGACTCCGGGTTCACTACCCGCAGATGGGGCCCAACCAGTTACCGCAGTGGTGCCCCAGCCCAGATCAGCTGC